GTAATATGTTAGTGTGATCAGTTAACCGTCGGCGATCCAAAACGATCAGCGGCACTTGCTTGGTGGGTGGCGGCGACAGATGACAGTGTGGCGGTAGTAGTGTGGAAGTTACAAATAACTTACAATGTGACAATGTGGTGAGTGTGACAATGTAACAATGAGAGTTTTAACTGTTAACTCATGTTTTAATCTTTGAAGACTTATAACTTCTATTTTAATATTTTCATTGTTTTTACCCTTATCTAGGGAGTTCTCCCATATAAGAGTGTTCACACTCTCAAACATCCATAATTTGAAATTATGTATTGACATTTCATGTTACTTTTAGTTAATATTTGACTTTTTAATTTTTTTTTGTATAAAAACATTATATATTATTTCGGGGATGAAGCTCATCTTTTTTTAATAAAGAATATATTAAATTGGAAGTCCATGTCATGAATACCTCGGGCGTCTTTCACAATCAAGCGGCTAAAAATTATTAAACTGTACTCGATCGGGTACGATCGAATTTAATAATCTACATTTTTTGGTGCGTTGAATCCATTTGGTTATGTTAACGTTACAGCTTTGCTAAAAGATTGACTAATCTTTGATTGTGTTGAACTTAGAAAGACTTTTGCCGGATTGATTGACTTTTTTCAATTTAAAAAAATTATTTAAAGAGTTTGGAGTAATGAATTCAACTAGTAATTTAATTTTCTATTCTTAAAAAAAGAAATTTTAATAAATATTTAAGTTACACACCAATAATTTCGTATGCAATAACAGATATCCTCCGTGATACAATTTGATAATAACTTGTCTTATTGAATATTGAGAGATATGACCCTATATATAGGGAATACAAGAGTAATCAAAGTACAAATAGGAAAGGAAAGAATAATCCTAGTAGGAAAGGAAAGAAGTATCCTAATTTAATTATACTTCCTAATATCCCCCCGCAAGCTGATCAACGGAGACGAGGGGCAGCTTGGAACATAAGTACTCAAAAGGAACTGGCGGAAGCGGTTTGGTAAGAATGTCTGCTAGCTGCTCTGAGGAGGAAACATGATGTGGAGTCATAGTGCCTGCCATAACCTCATCTCGTACAAAGTGACAGTCTG